CCCTAATTTAGGATCATCTTTTTAATAAATTCTTGAAAATGTTAAAAAAGAGAGAGAGAAAGGGGGCCCGGCGTGGATGTTTGCCCCGGGTCCTGTGCTGGCTCTCGACGTTTCTGGTCTGAGATTTTCATCTGCTCTTAGTTATTAGATTGCACATTGTAGAATTCTTAAACGAGATTTTTTTTTCATCGCCTTAATAATTTGTGTTATTTATATCTCTCTTTTTTTTCTGCACATCATAACTTTATTAAATCAAATAATACAACTTATCGCTTTTCATTTAGCGTTTTATCATGCCTTTGGGTTTTTCTGAAGTTGATAACTTGAACTTTAGTAAAGCTAAGGAGAAATTGAATTTTATAGCTTTTTGCTACTGAAAAAAGGCCCAGACTTACTAACACGAAGCAAGAGAAGAAAGCGTATATATTCTATGAGGTGGTGGTAAATAACAGAAAATTCAAAGCCTCACAGTTAATGAGGAGCCTCCTATTTCACAACACTTTTCTGCTCCAAAGCCTTACAGTTCAGGAGAAGCCTTCTGCTTTGCACCTTTCTCTTGTTGTCCACTGTGCTATGTAGACGTCAGTGGACAACAGGATAATGGCGTAGAGCGGAATGGCAATACAATCCAGTTTATAAACATGGAGTGGTAATCCACAGGAGAAGAAAGGTAAATAGTTTCATAATGTCTTAAAGCAACTTGTAGATGTAACTATAACAAAGCTGGCGGAAGCGTGATCGAGGATAGAAGATGAATTTTCTTAGGACATAATCTATTAACGTAAGTCCTGTAATTCAAAGAAGGAAAAACCTCTTTGTCAATGCTGTAATGTCCAATAAGAAACAGAAGTTAGAGTATTTTTCAATGGTTTATTTAAAAACTTATTATTTTTATAGGTTCAGAAAATAATCTATACATAGGTTTTTGCATCTTGTTAAAGGTTCTTCGTAAAGATAGAAATTCGATATGAGATGAATGAAGTTTCAAATGACAAAAAAATCATAATTTCTTTTACGCTGCCAACATCATCAGAGGCTTTAATTACGGATATAACTTATGCGTCTTAACAACCAATTCTGAATTACAAGACAAACGCTGAAAAAGAAATCAATTATTTCAACTTCTATTACTTACATGGCAGAACCATTGAAGTCCTACACCACAAATCTAGTAAGGATAGGTTATTAGCTCACCTGAGCGCTGTGGTTCCACCTTTTGAACTTTTCTACAAAGATTTCAAGAAATGTATGTGTAGCTTATATTAACAATCTTCCCAAAATTGAATTTCTCAGTCACCAGACGTAAGACGTTGGAAAAGGCGTAGCTCAGCTAGTTTATGTTCCTAAATTATTGTTCCATAGACATCAACGATCAGTTAATTTGGTTCAAAAGATGAACAAGTCTAGCTTACATTTCCCACTTAAAATAGTAATAATACAATAACAGATTGAACAATTCTATTGATGTGGTTTAGAAAAATATAAAAAATCCGAAAGGATGAAAAAGTTTTCTCATATGGTTCACAAGTGCTACAGTTCCTATTTTAAATCCAGAAAAATGGTGCATTTGACTTTATCCAGAAATATAGAGCTGTTCATCTGACATCCTCCGTAAAGATGGATCGCTTCATATGATATGGTCTATAAAGATGAAACACTTCATCTGATATGGTTCAGAAAGATGGAATAGTTCGTCTGATATGGTCCGTAAAGATGGAGCACTTCATCTGATATGGTCCGTGAAGATGGAGCACTTCATCTGATATGGTTCAGAAAGATGGAATAGTTCGTCTGATATGGTCCGTAAAGATGAAACACTTCATCTGATATGGTTCAGAAAGATGGAATAGTTCGTCTGATATGGTCCGTAAAGATGGAGCACTTCATCTGATATGGTCCGTGAAGATGGAATAGTTCGTATGGTAGAACTCAAACAGATTTTTTATTCGTTTTTTACTACCTAGAGAAATAAAATAGAATTCTAGCTTACAATGCTCCAAAAGACAAGTACTGGTTATTGTACACACTTATATTTTTAACTCTCCTATTAACTATTACGTTTATCATAGTTATTTTGGTTAAAATAAATAAGATAAAGACAATGGAATCTTTATAATTATTAACTTCACTAAGATGAGGAA